TCTGACAGACAAGCTGAGCGCCAAATTTAAATCAAACAACCTGAATCTTAGCTGTGTACCTCTTATCTGTCAGTAGATGCTCAGAATGGTGGGTTCTGGATACTCTGTGCACCTTTGAAGGGGGCTGAGGACAGGTCAGTGGGGGAATTTCACTTTCACAATGCCTTTGATTCTGCTCCCAGGTCACATGACCTTGATGAGGTTTTTCTTAACCAATCAAGGTTACGTATCACCTTTACTCTAATAATGTCTTGAAGACACATTTAGAAAAGACAAATACCTTACGACTTCACTCATATGTGGAACACTGTATACAACGAAAAAACAAATGAGTAAAAAAAATTAAAGAAGGAAGCAAATGACGCAAAAACAAACACATATATTCACACAACAGAGTAGTGGATATCAGAGGGTAGCAGCAGGGGGATGGCCAATGAGTGAAATGGGACCACAGGATGGCAAAAGAAAAAACCTAAGTTTTTGGTGCTGATCAGTTTTTTGGCATACTAGAGTTGAAATATATTTTTATACATAGAAAACATGTAATATCGTAACCCAATGATACCGCAGAAAAATAATTACATTAAAAATTATCCGTGACTCATTGCATAAAGCCACATCTATACATATTTTGTCTAGAGTCCTGTTTCTCTAGGGGATACACTGAACACCAAATAAAATCAAACAACATGAAATCCAGCTGGTACAGGAGTTGAAATATATTGTCATACACAAAAAACTTATCTAATATTATAACCAAAAAATACCTTATTAAAAAAGTCTACTGAACAATAAATTGAAAAGAAATTAAAGAATCCGTATCCTTCGCGCATAGCCACATCATTATTTTTACCACTGCCCTGTTACCTGAGGAACAAGATGAACACCAAATATACAGCAAATCAACCTGAAATCCAGCTGGGTACTTCCTGTTGGTAGATCATCAGAAATATGTGTGCTGGACAAACCCCACTGGACACAGTGTGGGTTCCAAGGTGCCTGAGGAAACGTACATGGGAGAAGGGTCCTTTTCTTGCTTGCTGTTATACTACTCCAGGTCACGTGATTCTGTTAAGACATTTGTAGCCAAGGAAAGATATCTATCCCTTTTTTTCTTACCCTGTCTCTAAGGAAGGTTTATACATTGTGATTTATTGTTATCATGCATTTTAAAACTAGAGGGACACCTGTACATACTTTTAAGAATAATTATGATCTGAAAGAAAATTAAACATCTTTGCATGTGCTTATTTTTTCCGAGAATCACAATTTTTACTATGGTAAAACATGCATGACATAAAATTTACTGTTTAATCACAGTGAGGTGTCAAGTCCTATGGCATCAAGTGCACTCATGTTATCTTGCAGCCACCAGCACCATCCATGTCCTGATAAAAAATAGACAGGAAAAAGAAAGACAACATTTCCCCACATGGAACAAATAATTATGCGATGAGAAAGCTGCATTTAATATTGTGGTACATGCAACTGAAAAGTCAAAGGAAACTATGCTTACTTCTTGAAAATTCGACTTTCCCATCGGACATCAGAGCAGGCCATTTTCAAGTACAAATTCACTCAGAAAAAACATTTCCTCCTCTATTAAACTAGAAGCTTCACAGCTGAGCTTTAAATCTTTTCTCTTCAGTGTTTCTTTTTTATCTAGTTTCTGTTAATGGAAGACAAAGAGGTTTCAGCTAAGAATGAACAAATCCATTATTTAGGCTTTCAATGCCTATAGAAAATCGCACCTTGTTTTGATAACTGCTGTTTCAGTTCCCCACATAAATCAGAATGCTGATTTACATGTCTTCTGAATTTTCATCTTCTTGTAATAAATAGTGTGAAGAACGATGTATTGTATCAGTTTCTGTTTTCAGAATTACCCTTAAAAATAAAGAATCAAGGTCACGAACTCACACCATACACAAACCTGAACTCAAAACACATGAAATACTTGCATATAAGACCTGAAACTGTAAAGATGCTAGAAGAAAACAGCGACAGTACACTCCTTGAGATAGGTGGTCATCAATGGAAAAACAGATAAAGAAGAGGTAGTAGGTATTTAATGGAACACTATTCAGTCATAAAACACTTGACATTTGCCATTTTCCACAACATGGTGGGACCTGGAGGATATCATGCTAACAACATAAGACAGGCAGAAAAGACAAACACCTTATGACTTTACCCATATGTGGAATATTAAAAAATTACAAGAAAAAATAAAGAAAAAAATTAATGATGAAACCAAAGGGCACCAAAACAAACACATAGATGCACAAGACAGAATACTGGAAACCAGAAGGGAAGTGGCAGGTGGAAGGCCCAATTTGTAAAATGCCACAAGATGGTAAAAGACAGAAACTAAGTTTTTTGTCCTGAGCAGGTGCATGGTATACAGGAGTTGAAATATATTGTTGTAAACATAAAATTTATCTAATATTATAACTGAATGATACCTCAGTAAAAAAAAAAAAAGAATAGAAATGTAAATTTTAAAGAATCTTTACCCCATTGCCTAAAGCCATATCACTACGTATGTTGACCACTGTCCTATTTCTCTGGGTGATTAACTGAACACCAAATTTACTTCAAACCAACCTGAAATCCAGCCGTGCTCCTCCTATCTGTCAGTAGAATCTCAGAAAAGTGGGTGCTGGACAAACCCCACTGGTCGAGATGCAGTTTCCAAGGTGGCTGAGGAAGGGTCCATGGGGCAAGTTTTCTTTCCGAGCTGACTTTTATGCTGCTCCAAGCTCACAGGACCTTATGAAGCCTTTCGTACCCAGGGAAGGAAATCTGTCACAATCGATAGACAATAGAATTTGTTGCTCATCCTCCTCACACAAGACTGTTTTTCACCCTGACTGTTCCCCAGAATCCCTTGTGGAGATTTGAAAAGTAATGATGGGTCAGTATCATCCTTGTATGTGTTCCTGTAAAGGGACTCAGGCCTGTGGTTTGGGAATTGTGCTACTTTGTGCTACAAGAACACAAGTCATCCCAGTGGATATCCTGGAAGAATTTCCCTTGAGATTTATGTTCAATATTGGTTTGTGTTGAAGGATAAATTCCAAGTCCTGCAGACAGAGTGGGGAGATCTGCTTTGTGAGAACATTCATTTTTTTCTTGGGGAAAAGTACATTGCACTAATTATTTTAAAAACTGGCTTACATGATGGCTGATAGTTTTAGGCATTTTATATTCCTGGAGGCTTATTCCATGAGCTTATGTGGGGGTAACGAGGCTGGGTTCCTCTTTAGTGAGACTGCTGTGTGCATAATTCAGGAATCAGCTGAATAAGATAGAGAGTACGATCGTGGAAGGAACTCTTCATCCACTTAGCTCAATTCAGAGGTTTTGGGAGAAAATAACAAAAGAGATTTCTGAGGTCTGGGAGGGCAGAGATGCCTGTCTCTTTAGCCTCCGGTGGTTTCCATCTGCAGAAATATGTTGAGGGGCCTCAAAAAGTGTAGGACTAGATAGATGTCTTTGAGACTTCCTCATGACCTTGCCTGACCAGGTTGGTGACATTCTGGGAAACCTGGCCAGTGGAGCTGAAGATCAGAGCTGTGTCACTACCAGGGCCTCAAAGGGTAGATGGGGTTGAGGGATGTTGAAATGAGTGGAGGTGATTTGTGTGGAAAGAGCTGTGGAGAAAGGGGACACTCAGAGAGTGGGGCTGAGTCTCTGCCCACTTTCCAGGAGTGCAGATCTGAATCCCTGTGTTTACAGGGGCACAAAGAAAACCAGACACCAACACTTGGCTCCTTTAGCCACAGACTTTATTGTTTGAATATTTGCAACTATTATTCTATACACAAATTTTAATTTCTTCCAAACTCTACATTCTGTATTGCTAGATCACTTCACTCTCCATTTTATGCTACATTTTCATGAAGAGGTATTTCCACAAATCACAATTTGCCTGAATGTGTGTTAAAGGATTCTTTAAGAGGCTCCCCCTCCCACTCAGAGGGTCAGTTTTTTCTGATACAAAATCTAGCTGTAGTTCCACTTTGATATTTAGGATTGCTACATCCTCAGTGTGAGAATTTAATGTTGACTAAGAATTAAGTGATCACTGAAGACTTCCCTTCCTTCACGACACTGAGGGTGTGTTGTACAGTCTGAGCACACGTGTTCCAGAGAGGTTGCTCTATGAAGAAAGAATTTCTCATGACTTTACATTGATTCACTTCTTCAGGATGAATTATTTATAAGTATGCTTTGGTGTTGCTCAACATACTTGGGTATTTCTCAAGAGTTTACATCTTCGTTCTTGTTTTAGTGTTTATTTCTTGGAGGAGTTTCTTGTGCACATCAAGCCTGGTGATCAGCTGAATGTTTGTTAAGTCATTACAGTCTTAGTTGTTCTCCACCTGGAGTTGGCTCGTGTTGAAGAATAATTATCAAAGAAGAACTAGGGGTTGGTTATCCTCTGCTCAAGTCTCTAGGGCAGGGGTCCCCAACACCTGGTCCACAGCCTGTCAGGTACGCGGCCGCACAGCAGGAGGTGAGTGGCAGGAGAGAGAGCCAAGCTTCATCTGCTGCCCCCCATCACTCTCATTACTGCCTGGACCATTCCCCATGCCACCCCACACCCCCCCGGCCTGTGGAAAAATTGTCTTCTACAAAACCAGTCCCTGGTGCCAAAAATGTTGGGGACCACTGCTCTAGGGTCTTTAGAGTGGGGAACTGTTGCTGAAAACACCCATATTGTATTTATAGAGTGAGTTCTACTAAGTTACCTAAAATTAGGCCAATGATTAAAGGCTTTGCCACAGAGAGAGGGCACGCATGTATGGATCCACATCCACAGGTGATGCCTGTCTGGACTGAGGAGTGTGATGCCTGAACGAGTGTCCATATTGATTACAGACAGAGTGTCTTTAGTGGGTGTGAACCTTGGTGTGGTTAAATGTTAAAGCTATGCTGGTGTTCCATCCACATTCCTCACATGTATGACACCATGTCATCTCAGGTCAGAACGTCTACTGAGGGCCCTCCTGACTTTCTCTCCAGTGCTGGCTTCCCTCATGTCGTCTCAGGGAAGAGCCACGACTGAAGCATTTCCCACACCACTGACATTCATAGGGCCTCTCTCCAGTGTGGGTTCTCTCATGTCTTCTCAGGTTTGCATGCTGACTGAAGGCATTCCCACACCGCTGACATTCATAGGGTTTCTCTCCTGTGTGGGTCCTTTTGTGCCGAGTCAGTTCAGAAGTTTGAGTGAAGGCCTTCCCACACAGAAGACATGCATGTGGTTTCTCTCCAGTGTGGATTTTGTTGTGTGTGCGAAGTCCAGAACGTTGACTAAAGGTTTTCCCACACAGATGACATTCATAGGGCTTCTCTCTGGGATGGATTTTCTCATGTTTTCTAAGGTAAGAGATTTGACTGAAAGTTTTCTTACATAGACAGCATTTATATGGCTTCTCTCCTGTGTGAGTTTTCTCATGTCGTTTCACGTGGGGACTTTGATTGAAGACTTTCCCACACACACGACATTTATATGGTTTCTCTTCAGTGTGAATCATCTTGTGTTGGCTGAGCCTAAAGCAAGTACTAAAGGCTTTCCCACATAGAGGACATTCAAACGATTTAGCTCTGGTGTGAATGTGATCCTGTCCGTCAAGGAATGACCCTTGACTAAGTGATTTTCCATGCTGTTTGCTGACATTACTTTTCCTTCTTAAGGGAATTGGTGAATGTTGAGGTGAAGATCTAGGAGTAAATTCATCACTCAAATCAGTCCATCCAACAGGATCCCCTTGTGTGTGAGAAACCTGCTTTGGGAAAGAGATAGGAGGCTGTTACTGGTTTGCCACATCTATGCAGACACTCATTCCTCTACATTTACACCCTATAGCATCAGTCAGTTGTAGTCTCCTGTTAAAATGTTTCCAGTGTCAGTTGCATACACATGTTGTGTTACTCCTCTACAGGCACAAATGTTCTCTTTTATAGTTTCCCAACCCAGATATCAGATTAATTTTGAAGACTTCAGTCTGTTGTAAAGACTATGAGATGAGCAACGTTTGTGCAACAGCCTTTTTTTCTTAGGTCTCATGTTGTCGTTTTGAGCTCATATTAATTTCTTAACTGATTTCAGCCTATCCAAAAATATTCCCAGAAAGAGTTCAATCTCCACTTAATTACATACCAGCAATTGTGCTCAATTGCCAACTTATCTCACTGCCAGGTCCTTCATTTAGATGACTGTTGTTCTACCCATGAAACTTACCATTGGCATGGTGGCAGATATGTGCTTCCTGTAGACACTTTGCGTGAATATCATTTCTTGTCTAAGCAGACTTTCACCATCTAAAGAAATGGAAAAAATATAGATTTTAGAATGGCATTAGGGAAACAGAAATGTAAACAAACACCAACGTCCATGTGAGTATCTTTCAAAAGTTGGCACTTAGTTGGAGAAATAATGTATAATAAAGAAATACTCAAGGTAGTAGAAATACTTTAAAAGTCATTGTCTATTAGATAAAAAGAGGATTAAAATATAAAAATGTAACGTGGTGGAGAGACATTGGGTCAGCAAATGATGGAAAACACATTAAATGGGGCGATCAGGACAAAATCACTATGTGAAAGTTCAACTGCAGTGAGTCCACGAGCACCCTTTTCCCTAAAGAATAGAAAATGGCAGGAAGTAATATGAATTGTGATTGGTAGATGCAAAGAATGATAACAACATGAAGAATTTCAGCCCAATGTCCTCACTTCCAGTTTAGAACATATCGCTCACTTCATAAAACTTTCATTTGGTGTTTCCAAGGACTTAACACACTGACTGAAACTTTCTTGCAGTGAAGCACAGGCCCCTGATTCTTACCTGGACTCTGGCTTTGGAGGCATCCTGTTGCTTCACTCCACAGCTCTTTTCCTTGTTCGAGCTGGGAAATCACATCTGATTTGCTGATCTGATACCCTGTTTGATATGAAAAAGAAAAAAAGTGTTGGATTTTGAGTCTGGGCTAATTACCCTTTGCTGTGCTCAAGTCCAGGGTAAGGGAAAGAGGAAAATACAGAGATAATTGAAGGTCAGTGCCGGCAACAACATCTTCAACAGACAGAACAGTGAAGGTCCTTCAGCAGACCAGGAGGAAATCCAGAGCAGCAGCAAACACAGTGAGGCCCTCTAGCGGCTGATGCCTGTGCACAAGTTCAAAGATTACAGAATCCTCAGTGTTTTCCAAATGGGAAAGATTAAAAGACTCTACAGTGGGCTGAATATTACTTTCAAACAGGAGCCAGTAAGGATACGCCTTACAGGAATCATCAAAATTATGTCATATACACGACTCTGGTCTCAAGCCTTCATGGAATGACTAGAACAGAAGAATCATTTTAAAAATATTTGATCCATTTACTTATGCATTAAAATATCCATTGAGTCCCCAGTTGTGTTCTGAGTGTAAACACTGAGTAGCCACAGAGGTATGAAATGTGGCCAAGATTACTTTCCAGTGTAGTAATGCAAAGTACCGTGAAAAGAAACATCTTCGTTTTAAGTAGTTATGAGGACTATCAAAGAAGCAGGAAGGACTTGGAGTGGGACACGGGGAAGCTGATCTAAATGCTTGTTCGGTGAGTGAATGAATGCAGTGAACACACGTGCACGTACATCCGTGTTGACAGACTCACCTACGGAGACCAGGTGGGTGACATTTTCCAGCATCACGTTTCTGAACAGGGTTTTCTGGGATGTGTCCAGCAGGGCCCACTCTTCCTGGGTGAAGTTGATCGCTACATCTTCAAACGTCACTGATTCCTAAAACATCAGGGATGTTCTGGTTTAGACAGAGCAGTCCCTACCACTGTCCAGGGTGGGAGGGTTGAGATGAGGAGGTGATGGGGTCTGGGTGGATAAAGGATCACGCTCTGTGTGGGGTTCCCCTTGGTTCTCTGCCAGCGCTGAGCTGGTGTCTGCCTTTCAGGTACATTCACAGAAACCTACACACTCTGACGTCATGAAGCTTTATTTCACAGAAATATCACTTGAAGTGTGTTATAATACGACAATGAAGTTTTTCAATAACCTGGAAATTAGGACTTCCAGACAGTTGATAGTGAAATATTCACTTGCATATTCATAACTCAATCTCTCTTCCCTATTAATTTCAAGGAACTCTACAGATTCATGACAAAGCAAACAATAACCATGATGGGGTACTTTGAAAACATGACTATTGGTTTAAATTATGTCACTAGAGGAACCTTTGACTCTCCAGATAGAAACTGCTTTCATTACTTCTTATGAGTGTTGAATCATCCAATATATTACTGTATGAGGAGTTTGCTGTCTAGCAAACCTGGGTTAAATACAAAACATTATTCTGCTAATCATGCCAATGTCACAGAACCATGAAGGGATCCTTCATGTTCCTCAGAACTGAACAAGGTTCATACAGAACTTGGTACCAGTAGGTGCTCTCTTTCTCAACACTACAGGTCGCAGGTGTTCATAACAAACTCTGAGGTCAGATGGTTCAGAAGCATAAGCCGGGGACTCAGGTGGCTGGAGTGAAGGACAGACCTAGCCTGACCATCGCTGCGCAGCGTAAGGACTCCCATTCTTGACCTTCTCAGGGACCTTGACCTTAGTTATCACTGTTTCTCTTGTAATCTAATCTCATCTCCATGCTGAGGGATGAAAGAAGCCTAGTGATTGGTTTTTCTCCAATTTTTCAAAAATCTATTAGAGAACCTAATTTTATTCTACCTACTGTACTGTTTCTCCTTTCTGTGCAGCACAGTTAAGAAAATACTCCTCCCTACACATTCCTCCCAGTTATCGAATATGAATAAAAGCTTAATTACTAAGAGGTGGAATGTGTGAATGAGGGAACGATTGCTAATGGTACTTGGGGTGTAGCTTCAGAAGGAGGCGTCGCTACTCACCAGAGGCTCCATTGTCAACAACTCAGTCGCCAGGAGTCTTTCTCGGGATTTCAGTCACAGCCAATCCAAGCACTGAGCACGCAAATCTGAGGATGGAGAAGAAGCCATGAGACTCCAGTCCTGTGCACAACTTCCAGACCCACCTGAAATGGAGCCCCCTACCTCCACCTGGCTGTGACCCCAGCCCAGCAAACGGAAACCAGTGGTGCATCCTAAGAACACGGTGCAGTCTCTCCTCTCCCAGATCCCATGGAAGAAGCTAGAGCTGTGGTTGCTAAGACAGAAAGTCAAAGTTCAGAGAGCTTGCAAATAAGAATGTGCTAAGCATTGACTGTGTGTGTTCAGCAGGCTAGGGCATCCAGAAGCATTCAACGTCCTCCTTGATTCAAACCCTCGGGAACCCTGACTCATGCCGGAGTAGAGTTTGGTTTCCTCCTGTAGGAAACACTGGAAATCCCCAGATCATTCTCTTCCCTTATGCACCCACAGTGGTCCTCCAACACCCCTGGCAGCCCGCTGGAACCTCACTGCCTTCCAGTTCTCCCTCAACCCTGACTTTTAGTTCTGTCCCCCATCTACGTGGATATTAATCAGCCAAGGGCCTATTTCAGGATGCAGTTAAACCAAGGACTTATGCCACTTGGAGGAGCCGTGGCACCCACCCTTCCGGTCTCGTCCTTAACATCCACTGCTCCAGAAGGAAGCAGGGGTACACGAGTCATAGTGTTCCGGTCGTGGACTGTCTCAACCCTCTGTATCAATGTTGCTCAGAAATATAAAATGACTGAGGTTTTGGAGGAAATTGGTTTATTTACCAATTTACAAATGACACACAGAGGTTCCAAAAACTTAAGTATATGACAGAGTTACACATCCAGAAGAAGGATCAGCTGTCATTTAATTTTGCTCAGCCTGTGTCCTGTGCTCAAATTCCTTTAGGGTAACAAAGATCACCTAGGTTTTACCTGTAATACGATCTCTAACATTAGTCATCAGAAGAAGCTCCCTGTTATTTCTCTCTTCATGTTTATCACCCAGATATAGGGGAAACCTCTCCATATCGCTACACTCAATCCCCTCATTACATCCTATCTTGAAACAGAAATCTCTTCTAAAGATAGTTGCTCTCAAGTTCCTTCTCTCCTGTCCTCCCTCCACAATCAAAGTGAAAGTGCATTTTGTATCGAAAAAAAAGAGAAGCCCTGGATTAATGCCAGCATCTGCTAACTGTGGATAAACACACCCAAGAAAAAGCGTTTAGTGATTGTATTATCCACACCACCTAGGAAAATCCAAGGTGGGAGGGACTATCTAGGAAAACCAATCAAGACTTGGCCATGGATTATACCTTTGGTTTTGACTTCAAGACAAATTTCAGAGGGAAATGAAACTTTCTCTTTCACTCTTAGAATGTTTCTTCTATTGATAATAGGAATACGTAAATCCCTATGATATCCAGGGAAACCCCAGGCATATGCAAAAGAGCCGCCTTGCATCTAGAAGGTGGAACCTAGGCGACCCTGGCCATGTCCAGATTACAAGTTATAGGAATCAAAGGAGGTTAACATCTATTAATTTAGGGGAAGAATTAAATATCTCAAGAGATTTATTTTACCTTGAGATAATTATTTCAACATAAAAATCTATCCCAAGACACATAAGAAATGAAATGAAAATCACTTGATGAAACCCATAAAAGGAAATTAATTCAGAGAAGCAGAAAATGAAGTATTTAGAAACAAATTAGTAAAAATATCAGATGTAGATCAACAGCCAATAGAACTTTCCAAGATGAAGAACATGCTCTACATATGCAATGTATGATACAGAAGCTGCCACACACATGTGGTGACAGAACACTTGAAATCTGGCTGGCGTTACCAAGGATATGAAGTTTAGCTATTTAATTTCATTAATTTAAATGTTCTAGCCACATGCAGCTGGTCGTCACTGTATTGGGAGAGCACAAGTTTAGGATCTTAGGTTAGGCAGATAAAATAACTAAATAGATTCAAGACAACTATGTTGGAGTGGGAAAAAGGGACATGTACAGTCAAGAGTAGGAAATGATGGTGGCAAAATACACGTTGACACAATGTGGTTCAGAGACTACAAGAAGCTACTTTGATAGGACAATTGTCTAGAGACAGATAGGACTTAACAACATTTTCATGGGATGAAACAAACTCACATCTCACAGTTTGTAGGACTCACCAAAACCCCAGTTGCAGGAGCTGGTGAAGCCAAGTAGATTCTGAGGTAAGTTCCACAGCAAGCAGCCAATTTCTCTTCCTCCAAAGCCCCAAACTGTCCAACTTCTTCTTCTCTGGACAAATGCATCCCTTTGCCTGTCTGACTTTCCTTTAAACCTGGATAACAGTTTATAACCCAATCTGGGCTACATTCCAGGATCCACCCTCTCAGAAGGTTACCGACCCTAATAGGGTTTCAGTCTGTGAGCCACACCCTGTTCAATTTGATTGGATTTTCCAGACTAATAGGAAATTGTAATCCTCACACAGTGCTGGAGAGCAAAGATGTAAGGTCATGTCCAGGGATAGTGAGAAGATCCATTCATTCCCTTCTTCATCCGTAAACACTGTCGAGTGCATTCTCTATACTGGGAACCATTCTATGTCTTCAGAATAACGGCATCAGACACACTGGGTATCTGTGGAAATGAAGCTGGGATTCCCTGGGAGAAATACAGAATTAAAAATAAAATGCAAGATGAGAAACTGTGAAAACGTGAAATATAAATAATGAGGTGACAAAATAAGATACATTGCTGGGATGCAGAACATGACTCTTAAGGCACTGGCCACATAGTACTTTGAAGAACATGTTAAGAATCTATTAACTATGCAAAGAAAATGAGAAGACAATTTTATACTTTAGTTCTTGGTTAGTGGGGAAATCCATACAAATGTTCCTGCATAGTAAACTACTGTAAATAATTTTCCTGCCATGTCATTCGGAATCTATTTATACATTTTAGTGGAAATCTTATGGGTGTGGAGATGGCTCTTTAAGCTTAAAATTCCTGGCTCCTAAATGGAAAAATTAAACCAGGGGACATGGTGAGTATTTCATTGTATCTGAGGACATTTTGCTTGTATCATACAATGCCTGGCAATCCTATTATCTCATGTATTTCAATTCCATCTCCCATACACATTAAAGAGTATTTCACCTGAAACAAATATATTAAGGTAAATGAGCTATACTTCAATTTTTAAAAAAAATATTTTAAACCTTCGCCATTACCCCTCAATCTCCAAGGACTCATCCTTTTCTCTTACAGTCATCAGATTATGTGTAACCTATTTCCTAAATGAAACTGATACTTTGGATGTAGATACTGTCCACCACAAGATTTAAAGTACTCTGTTACTGTCATTCACTACTTATGTCATCTTCCACCTAAAAGGAAGGGAATTGCCTTTCCTCTCAGCTCGGAAATTTACTTCTACATTCGTGTTCTTTCCTATTCTCTCCTGCCACGTCAGAATGTATAATTTAAATTGAATTCACTTTATTTTTCACATTGGTTGATTTAAAATATTATAATAGTTTCTGTAAGGTCGGATCTTAACAAACGGCACCGCGAAACAGAGGAAAGCTTCAAGTGAGCTTTATTAGGGAGCGCTCCCGGGCGAGGTTCACTGGTCTGAGAGAAAGGGGTCAGAGAAGTCGCACCCGGGCGAGGGTTGGGCAAGATTTTATAGGGGAAGAAGGGAAAGGGGTGTGGTGAATCCGGGAGGGCGCAGGGTATTCCTTATTTGGGGGTCTCTTCGGGTATCCTGGCAATATCCGGTGCCCGTTGCATCAGTCTTGGGACTGTTAGTCCCGCCCCTCGAAAGGCGGGAAGGCTGGGCCGGGTGCAAAGTCCCCAGGTCAGTTCCTGGAACTGGGTGGTCCGAAGAGTTTCGGTCTGATGCAACCTGTGAATCTGATTGTGTTCCCCTGCCTCGGGCCAGTTGGCCTTACATCCTGACATCTTTGGTGTAATGGGGCGACGTTCTGGTCTCTGGCTACTTCATGCTGAATGGGGGCGTCGAAAGGGGAATCGGGCGACCAGAGATCCGAGGCTTAGGGGAGACCAGTGGGGGGTTCTGTAGGAAGCAAGGTGTAAGGACCGAGGAGCATTTGGGTTGTGGCCACCCGAGAAACTTCCTCCATGCGCCTGCGAAGGAACCTAAGAAAACAGGGAGCAAACGTGAGCAAGATACAGATGAGAATTGAGGGGCCTAAAATTGGTGTTAGCCAGGTATAGAGGGTGGATCGCCACCAATCGGGAATTGGGGAGGCGGACTATTGGTGTTTGCGTTGGAGTTCTTCTCTTAAGCGATGGAGGGCTTTTACGTTGTCTTCGACGAGTCCTGTTTCATTGATGTAATAGCATTCCTCCTGTAGGAAGAGGCAGGTACCTCCTTTGTCGGCCGTCAGGAGATCTAGGCGTCGTCGATTCTGGGGAGCGACTTGGGCTATGGAGGTGATTTGGTGCTGGAGAGAGGAGATGGAGCCGGCGGAGGCTTCAAAGGCTAGCTGGAGTTTATGTTCTAAGTCGCGGGATGTTGAAACACTGTGTTAGAGCTCCCCCACCCCCACCCCAAGGCCTGCAGCGACCAGGGAGGAGGCGAGAGAGATGCCTGCGACCAGAGGAAGAAAGATAGCTCTTTTCCGTCGGGTAAAGGGCGGCGTGATTAGCGAGGAAAATTCGGCTTGGCTATATAGTGTGAGTTGTGGGACGAGAGTAACGGGGATACATGGGAAGGGGGAGGAAGAATTGATCTCTTGTGAGGGAACCATTGCACCACAAAAACATGCCTGGTGGTGCTTCAATTGATGTGCTTACCGTGAGGGATGAGTTGCAAAGAAACCCAGTATCAGCTAGATTTGGGCGGCTGCCATAACAGATGGTGAGATTTTTTGAATCAAGGAATATGGGGACTTTTAACGGGGAAAAAGGTGGGTTTGGGGAGGTGTGGGAAGTAGAATTGAAGGGCTGGTCGAGTGGGACAGCAGCCAAGGGTGGCCGGCCAAGCGAGGCACATAGAAAGCAGTCGATGTTACCTATTCCTGTGTGGTTGAGTATCTGTACTGCTTGACGGACGAGGGTCAACCAAGAAAAAGGATCCTCTTTGTGTTCGGGGTGAGGTAGTTGGTGTCTTAGGGCTTGTTCTGTTTCCTGGATGGCAGTGGCTTGTTCGCTCAACTGTTGGATAACTTTGGGAATCAAACTGATATATGAGCGAAAGACCCTGATAGAGCCCACAGGGTAGGCATCAGTTGCCCATCGGTAGATTTTTCCTTGTACCCCTTTTACCCATCTTGTGTCCCAGGGATCTTTGATGTTGATGAATAATTGACCCTTGCCATTTGTGGTGAGCAGGTGGGATTGTCGGAGCGAGCTCCTGGTATCTAGTTTTGCCACATGGATGTTACATGAGTGATGGGGCACCCCCCATAGGTCTCATTCCACCATTGACAGTAGTCTCGGGTCTGATCGTAAGTGAAGCAGACAGCGGGGGTGGACCATCCCAGGGGAACACCTTCTATGTTAGAGATGGGGATCTGGACTGTTACCAAGGCCTGGCACCCATCTGGTTGGCAGTCTCTCATGCCCAGGACTCGGGTGTGGGTCCGACCTTTAGCTTGCCATGTCCCGTGGACATGGAAGCGCCATAGGGACATCTGGTGAGTCCTGGGTGGCAGGAGGAGCAGCAGGAGGAGAGACAGGGTGACGGACAAGCCGTAGTCTCGTGGGACCCAGCGGTAGGGCCGTCCAAGTCTCTGGAGTTGGGGCCATTTTAAGGCGGGAAACATGGTACCAGGAGGGGTGTCCCAAGAGTTTAGCTGCCGTGAGAGTGGTGAGGATCACCATACGGGGGCCTGTCCACCGTGGCTTGAGAGATTGAGGGTGTAATTCTTTGAGGAGGACGCTATCGCCGGGTTGTAGAGGGAGAGAGGAAGTTTCAGAGACAGTCAATGTCGGTAGATGACGGTCAGCGTGTTCGCGGAGAAGACGGCGGAGCAGGGAGACGTAGGGAAGGTAGGAGGCTAGGGGTGGACTCTGGGTTGGTAGGTCGTGAAGGAGGAAAGGGCAGCCGTAAAGTAGTTCAAATGGACTGAGGCCAGTAGGAGTCCAAGGTGAGGATCGGATTCGGGTAAGGGCTAGAGGAAGCAGGTCGGGCCATGAGACACGGACCTCAAGGGACAGTTTGGTGAGGTGGTCTTTTAAGATCCCATTGGCACGTTCAACCTTACCGGATGATTGGGGGTGGTAGGGGATGTGGAGTTTCCAGGTGATCTGGAGAGCCTCTGATACCTGTTGAACCACCTGAGAGACAAAGGCGGGTCCGTTATCCGACTGAATGGAGACCGGCAGACCAAATCGGGGGATGATGTGTTGAAGCAGGATGGTGGCGACTGTGTCTGCCGTTTCTCGAGTTGTTGGATAGGCCTCGATCCAACCTGAAAAGGGGTCAATGAGAGTGAGCAGATATCGGAAGCGTTTGCAGCGGGGCATATGGGTAAAGTCGATCTGCCAGTCTTCACCAGGCTGATGTCCACGCATCTGGTGTGTAGGAATTCGGGGCCGTAGGCCTCCTTGTGGGGAGACGGATGCACAGGTTTGGCAGGCCATGTGAGTCTTTGAGATGGCCTCTCTAAGTCCTGGCAGATGAAAGAGGGGGTCCAAAAAAAGGAACATTGCTTTTGGACCAATGTGTAAGGATTTATGGATGTCTGATAGGAGGCTGGCTGCTTGGGCCAGAGGTAGGGCAATTTTGTTGTCTATAAAAATCCATCCTTTGTTGTCTTTGTGTCCCCCTTTTGATAGTAAGGCAGGTTCCTCGTGCGGGGTATATGTGGGTTGGGTAGGACTGGTAAAAAATAGGAGTGGAGCTGGAGGATCCCCTTTTGTAAGCCCTCGGGCCACGGAATCGGCCTTCGAGTTACCTTGTGCTACTGGGTTGGATGGGAGTTGATGACCCCTGCAATGGATAATTGCTACTTCAGGAAGCTGGAGGGCCTCCAGGAGTTTTGCAATGAGGGAAGCGTTGAGCACTGGGGATCCCTTAGTGGTCAGAAATCCGCATTCCCTCCATAGTGCTGAGTGGCTCTGTGCAATGAGAAAGGCATACTTAGAGTCTGTGTAGCTGTTAACCCTTTGGTCTTTGGAAAGGTTAAGGGCTCTTGTAAGAGCGATTAGCTCAGCCTTTTGGGAGGTCGTTCCTTCTGGGAGGCTGTTAGCCTCGATAATAGTTGAGATAGTTATCACCGCGTAGGCTGCCCGTCGGCGCCCGTCAGGACCGAGTATCAAACTACCGTCCACAAAGAGAGCGTGGTCCGGATTTGAAAGAGGGGTGTCAAAGAGTCCCTCTCTTGGTGGTTTGAAGGCTTCTATGACATGAGGGCAGGAATGGGATGGAAAACCCTCGGTGCCAGAGATAGGCAAGAGGGAGGCCGGGTTTAGGCCAGGGGAGAGGTCGAGGGAGATAGCAGGGTTTTCAATGAACAGTAGGTGGAACTCCTGGATGCGGGAGGGGCCCAGGAGGGAGAGAGACTTGTGGCCTAGGAGGTCGACCAGCCGGTGGGAGGAAAACACGCTTAGTGGGTGGGCCAGAGTCAGTTTGAGTGTTTGGTCAGTTCGGCTGCCGCTGCTAGGGCCCGAAGGCATGGCTGCCATCCCCGAATGGTTGGGTCTAGCTGTTTGGAGAGGTAAGCCACGGGGCGGTAGGAAGGCCCTACAGGCTGGGCAAGGAGCCCAGTGGCTATTCCAGCCCATTCATCCACAAAAAGGTGAAAAGGTCGGTTTGGGTTGGGCAGAGAAAGGGGAGGAGAAGATATCAGAGCGTTACGGAGGGTGAGAAAGGCCTGTCGAACGGCGGAAGGAGAGGTGAGGGGTCCTTGAGGGGTTTCTTTAGCGGCTAGATATAAGGGTTTAGCGAGGAGAGCAAAGTTAGGGATCCAGTGTCGGAAAAACCCTATAAGGCCCAAAAAGGAGAGAATTTGTTCCGCTGTTTCCGGAGGCTGGAGTTCACGGATAATCCAGGTGCGATCGGCTGTTAGACCTTTTGTGGTAGGGGTAAGGTGGAGCCCCAGGTAGGTTACAGAAGATACAGATAACTGAGCCTTGGCTGCGGAGACCCGATAACCACGAGAGCCAAGGTAATTGAGGAGATCTGCAGTGTGTTGTCTTGAGAGGCTGAGAGATGGGCTACGAAGGAGGAGGTCACCTACAAATTGAAGGAGTGTGCTGGGGGTAAGGGAGCAGGAAGTGAGGTCCCGTGCCAGCGCCTGACCGAAGAGGTGAGGACTGTCGCGGAAGCCCTGGGGAAGAACTGTCCAGGTGAGCTGACTGGAAGTATCAGTATCCGGATCCGTCCAGGTAAAGGCGAAGAGGAAATAGGAGTCGGGATGTAGGGGGATAGTGAAAAAGGCATCTTTGAGATCCAGAACCGTAAAGTGGGTTGTGGATGGGGGGATATGGGAGAGCAAGGTGTATGGCTTTGGTACTACTGGGTGGAGAGGAATTATGGCCTCACTGATTAGTCAGAGGTCCTGGACCAGGCGATAATCCCCAGAGGCCTTGCAGACAGGCAGGATGGGGGTGTTGCAGGGAGAGTCAGTGGGGATAAGGAGTCCCTGGTTTAGGAGGTTGTAGGCCCCTAAGGTGAGTCTCAGAGATGGGAAATTGGGGCCTTGATGGAAATTTGGAGGGGTCCTTTAGGCGTATGAGGATGGGGGAATGGCGTGTTGCTATTATGGGCTTAGAAGTATCCCAGACTTGGGGATTGATTGGGTTCGGTGTGATTGGAAGAGGGGGATAGGAGGGGGAGGGTTCTAGAGACAGGCTGAGAAGAGGAAGCAGGAGTTGGGAGGAGGGGACCTTAGGGTCAAGTTTAACCAGCTGAAGGGAGGCCCCTAAGTGGAAAAGGACATCTCGGCCTATCAAGGGAACTGGGCAGGATGGTATGACTAAGAAGGAATGAGTAAAAGGGAGTCCTTCGATATGACATGGGGAGTGGACCGGTCTGGAGTGGGAAGGATGGTTTGCCATCAATACCCATGACCGAGATCTGGGAAGGAGAAACTGGCCCGGAATAAGTAGGCAGGACCGAATAGGTAGCCCCCGTGTCCACCAGAAATGAGATGGACTTACCCGCTACCTGTAGCGTTACCCTGGGCTCGGCGAGGGTGATGGGGGTCTTCGAGTCTGGGCGCCGTCAGTCGTCAGCCAATCCCAGCAGTTCGAGTGGTAATGCCGTTGGGTCGGCCTGCCCCCCGTGTGGAGACGCTGAGGAAGGGCCAGTCGTAGGGCAGTCACTCTTCCAGTGGCCCGTTAGCCCGCAGCTGGGACAGGGCTTAGAAGGAGGTCGGGGATTGGGACATTGGCGAGCCCAGTGGCCTTCTTTTCCCCATTTGAAGCAGGCCCCCGGCGGGGTTGCCTTTTGCGGACCCCGTGGATGCTGTGATCCACGGGAGATGGGCGGCCTTAGGGCGGCTACAAGAGCTTGGGTTTGGAGGGCCACCTTCTGGTGCATCCGAGCCTCTCGGCTGGATTCTGCCAAATCCTCACGGCCATTATAGACTTTAAAGGCCATCTTTACCAGATCTCGAATAGGGGTCTGAGGGCCGTCTTCTGCCCGTCTTAATTTCTTTCGGATGTCCGGGGCTGATTGGGTGATAAAATGGGTGGCTAGGACCGCTGCCCCTGCCGGGGTGTCGGGGTCCAGCCGGGTGTAGAGAGTTAAGGCCTCTGTAAGGCGATTGAGAAAGATAGCTGGATTTTCGTTAGGTTCTTGGGTTATCTCTTTTTAGTTTTTCAAAATTGACTACCTTATGAGCGGCAGACTGCATGCCAGCCGGGAGGCATTGGATCATGAGGTCGCGTTTACGACGGCCATCTTGGCCGTCCTGAGAAGTCCAGCCTGGATCGGTGCCAGGTACGGCAGTGGCTCCGACAGGCATGGAGTTGTTGGGAAGATGAACCTGATCTGCATGGTTTCGGGCAGCGGTTTGAATTCTTTTCCTCTCGTCAGGGGTCAGAGTAGAAGATAGGATCACAAAGATATCGTGCCAGGTTAGATCGTAAGCTTGAGAGAGATAGCGAAATTCTTTGATGTAGCGGGAAGAGTCGGCAGAAAAGGAGCCTAATCGCTTTTCTATCTGAGAGAGATCTTGGAGAGAAAAGGGAACATGGACTCTGACCAGTCCTTCCGCTCCTGCTACCTCCCTCAGAGGGCAGAGGAGATTTGGATCTTGGGAGTCGTGAGCACGTGTATGTGCACTAATTGGCGAAGCAAGGGGTGTGGGAGGAGAAACCGTGGAGGGAGGCGGGGGAACGGTTGGAGGGGCCAGAGCGGGTTCGGGAGGAGGAGGGACCGCTTCAGGGTAGGGTGGAGGTTGGAGAGGAGCTCTGGAGCGGGGAGAAGCGAGAGATTCGGGTGGGTCGGCTAGTGGAGAGGGGTCATCGTCAAAGGAAATTAAGGGCTTGAATGTAGGAGATGTCTGTTTGGCAAGAAGGATCTGGGAAGTGGAACAATCGACGCAGAGGGAAGGGCGGGAGCGCAAATACCAGAAGGCCTGAACATAGGGGACCTCGGACCATTTGCCCGTCCTGCAGCAGTAATTATCTAGATCACGGAGGATGTTAAAATCGAAAGTCCCTTCAGGAGGCCATTTGGATTGATTGTCTAGAGGATATTGTGGCCAGGCCACAGTGGAATAGAAAATAAGCTGTCGGCGACGGAGATCTTGGGAGAAACCGAGGGCTGTAAAATTGGCTAGGAGGCACCCCAGGGGCGTCTTAGAATCTGGTTTCGATTGTGAGGTTCCCATGACCCCCAGTCTGTCCCTGAGTGAATGGAGAGGGAGAGAGGCGTCCCTGGTCTCAGTCTCCAATTCACGGCAGGTTGGAGGGCGGTCAGGCGGTGGGGACGTCTCCACAGTTGCCCGAGGCCCGGAGAGAGGACGGAGGAGGCCCTGACGCGGCCACAATTAAGGACAGGGAGTCCGGTGGGCAGGGACTCTGAGGGTCGGAGGGAACAAGGGAGGGGGACTTACCCCGTTTTCTGCCAGATCGGGTGGATGAGTAGAGGTTCCCTGGTTGTCTCCTGGGGGAGGGGAGGAGCGGCCCGCGCGGTAACCCGCGGGGCTTGGTACCCCTCCCGGGTTTCGGCACCAAATGTAAGGTTGGATCTTCCCGGGCGAGGTTCACTGGTCCGAGAGAAAGGGGTCAGAGAAGTCGCACCCGGGTGAGGGTTGGGCAAGATTTTATAGGGGAAGAAGGGAAAGGGGTGTGGTGAATCTGGGAGAGCGCAGGGTATTCCTTATTTGGTGATCTTTTCGGGTATCCTGGGGGACGTTAGTCCCGCCCCTCGAAAGACAGGAAGGCTGGGCTGGGTTCAAAGTCCCCAGGTCAGTTTCTGGAACTGGGTGGTCCGGAATGTCCCCAGGTCAGTTTCTGGAACTGGGTGGTCCGGAATGTCTCCAGGGCAGTTCCTGGAACTGGGTGGTCTGGAGAATTTCGGTCTGGTGCAACCTGTGAATCTGATTGTGTTCCCCTGCCTCGGGCCAGTTGGCCTTACAGTTTCAGGCGTACAACATAGTGATTTAATTATTTTAAACATTATACTTCATGACATATATACTTCATTTAAAGTTATAATGAAATATTCCCCGTGTGGTACAATTTATTTTTGTAGCTATGGTTTTTTTATTTTTATACATAGTAGTTAGTATCCCTTAATCTCATGTTTATAATTTCCTCTCCCCCTTCCCTCTCCCCTTTGGTAAACACTAGTTTGTTCTCTATATCTGTGAGTCTGTCTCTGGTTTCTTATTTCATTTTGTTTTTTAGATTTCACATACAAGTGATAACGTACAGTATTTGTCTTTTTTTGTTTGTTGTATTTTTCTAATCATAAGACCCTCCAAGTCCATCCATGTTGTCACAAATGGCAAAATTTCATTCTTTTTATGGTAGAGTAATATTCCTTTGTATATATACAACACTTGTTATTTATCCATTCATCTGCTGATGGACACGTAAGTTGTTTCCATATCTTAGCTATTGTAAATAATGCAGTTGTGAACATTGGGGTGTATGTATCTTTTCAAAATAGTGTTTTCGTTTTCTTGAGATGTATACCCGGCGATGGAGTTGTTGGATCATATAGTAGTTCTATTTTTTAGTTCTTTTAGGAACCTCCATACTCTTTTCCATAGTACTAGGCCAATTTGTATTCCCACCAACAGTGTGCTAGGATTCCCTTTGCTCCGTATCCTGGACAACCTTTTCTGGCTGAAGAATTTTTTATGAGGGCATTCAGACAGGTGTGAGGTCATAGCTCACTGTGGGTTTGATGTGCATGTCTCTAATGATTAACGATGTTGAGCATCTTTTCATGTGCCTGTGGCCATGTGAATTTCTTCTTTGTGAAAATATCTGTTCAGGTCCTGTGACCATTTTTCGGTTGGGCTGTTCGTTTTTTTGATACTGAGTTGTATGAGCTGTAAAACAACATGTACACCTTATTTTAAACCACTCCCTCTCTTTGAACCCTCGTCTTACCATTTAAATATGCTATGGTATCGCTTAACCTTAAATTTGAATTTTAAAAAAAAGGTAAAATTTTGAAGTCCTTTTATTCCCAATAGCTGCCCTCTCACTTTTAAAATCCA